ATACACACCTGTCTGCTCCTGTGCACAGGCAGCGGATGCGCTGTGACTTCATTCAGATGACACCGTTTCAACCCACCTCCAGCCCCTCCTCCACCATCGTAGCTAAAGCTTCATCAGTGTCATTCCTCCCGGACTCTTACTGTGTTCCCTGTCTCATCTTAACCGGTCTGGCAGAAGACCATCATGTTGAACCTGTTTCTGCCAGAGGTATCTCCCCAACGGGGAGTTTTTCCTCTCCACTGTCGCTTCATGCTTGCTCATCATTGACAGGTTCTCTCAACCTGTGTTATCCAAACTGGACTTCCATCTTCCAGGTCCCTGAGTGAAGCTCTAGTATCAGCTCACACAGTCCAGTGGATCTCCCCATAAAGCTCAGCAGACCAGCAGTCTACAGACTGACTGACTTCATCTATCTCCACTCCAGCACCAGTTTCAGGCCTGGGGGGAAAACAGCCCTATACTTTGCTTCTGTTCATGCATATCTATCAAAATGAAGTGCTATGTTTCCTGCCGAGGTCTGAGCGCCAAAGACAAAGTAATTGTATCAATAAATTTCTCCTTACTGTCTTTTCTCTTTGTATGAGTTTTTCAGATTGAACTGGTCTGCTTGTGAAAGCAAAGCTGTTGTGCTATCATATTGGCTAACAGGACACATTGTTCTGTAAACAGTCAAAAGAGTTGTTGCGGTAACTGTAAACCATACATGAATATATGAAACCTCGCTTTTCCAGATGTGTAAATGACAGTTTGGTCAGGATTTTAGTAAAAAGCTCCAGAAAGTCTTATTGGAAAACAAAAAGTACTTCTTGAAAGTCATTATAGATTCAGATGACAGAGATCCACAGCTTTGGCAGACCTGGAATTAACAGAAGAAATCAATAGATCCGTAGATTAAAATAAAGTTTGGAATAGGTCTTTTTGTTGATCTAAAAGCCTTTGACAACTTTTTATTAATTGGAAAATTGGAGCATTATAATATACAGTGGTCGTTGTAGAGTGGATTAAGAGTTATTTAAGAAGCAGAAGCAGGCAACTATGGTAAAACAGAACATCAGTCATCATCTGTGTTGCCATCCAGAGGTCAATACTGGGACCAAAGCAGATTATTCTCCATGTAAATGAAGTGTTCGGCAAGTTTCTTTTAAAAGTTAACTAGTTATACTGTAGTTACTAGTTCTATTCTCCAAAAAAGTAACTAAGTAAGTAATTCAGTTTTTAGGATCTAAATTGTTGAAGAATTTGAAAAACATTTGTTATTGGAATTTTAAAGACACCTATTGTTTCAATTATGTTAAGTTAATTTAAAGGTTTAAACATTTGAAAACTGAACTGCACTATTTTAATGTATGCATTTTGACAAGTGAGTTGCAATATAATTATCTAGATTTTTTCATCTTTATGATAAAAGAAAAATAAGATGTTCTCGCATTTATTTTTTCTTCAATTGGCTCTTAAATAGGTATGGAGCTGAAAAATAATGCTTTCAAGCAATAAAAAAATAAATAAAACATTGTATATACTTTGCAAACGAATTAAACAGGGGTTACACTGTTTAATTCCACAAACAAATCCCCAGGACTGAATTATCACAGAATTTTTGCGTGCAAAAACATAAACCATGCAAGTAACATCATTATCGCCCTGAGAAAGTAAAGAACATGTGCCGATTAAAGCTGTGAGTCCGTTTTAAGATGACACAGAGCTTCTTTAAATTGCAGCTTCTAACCAACAATTATCAAGTCTATGTTCCTGCACATAATGAGCAAATCATAGTCCCAACAGTGCATATATGACACATGTAAGGTTTCGAAAGTATTACAGATAATACACATTATCTGAGCAATGAGTGCTTACAGTAGGTGCTGGGTGATGGCAAAAAAAGAAATATTTGATAAAAGCTAATTGTTTTTCAACTTACAGAAAGGTGAGTTCAAATTTTTGAAAATCCTAAAGGAAGTAAGATTTGAAAGTCATAAAATATAGGGTGAATGTGGAATAGGTAAATCGTATAAAACTCTTATGTGATATGATTATGGACAATATCTGCTGGACATCTTACATCAAACATGTCCAGATTAAACTATCTATAAGGAGGAAATTCTTAGGAAACAAAAACATTTCGTAAATTGTACAACAGGCATTACTGTTCAGGGATTTTCCATAAAGCTACCATGTAGTAGTCACCTACAGGACATATCTCAAACTGCTATGCTCAATGCAGAAAAGAGCCACCAGGATCATTCATAACCAGCTATCATAATCACATTAATCTATTATTTATTCACCTCTGCAGGAATGTCAACTCTCGCCCACTGGGGTTATCTCAGTGTCTTCACACGATCACACTTCATATCCCCAATTTTTCCACGCTAAAAAATAAAAATAAAACTGAACTCCATACCACTTATTTATATAAAAAAATACTATGCTGATAAAAATCCAGTCTACGTTTTCAACAAAACCTTAGTGCTAACATATGAAGACATGCCAGGTTCATCTCCAATCCGTATTTTTGCACCATCCCATCTATTATCTGTGCTGCCAGTAGCGGAGCTGGACCTGAGCCCGATATGGAAAAAAGATGGATTTCGGAGCAGTTTTTAAGATTTATGTCATTTAAAATGTATCTTATCTTATCTGGGATAAGATAATTCACTTTGTAAATTAATGAAGATTTGAAGCAATCTAGCACTTGAGTAAATAAAATACACAGCAGGTAGCTTAAATTAATGAAGATGGAGACTGAGTGAAAGATCTCATCAAATGGTTTGTTTTCTCTTTGTGCTTATTTTTTTTACTGAGATTTACTCCTTGTTTGCTTCAGTTTATCCTCCTGATTTAGTCCCAGTTTGAGTCCATGCCTTGCTCCAAGTTTTTTGGAGCAAAACATGGACTTGGTCTTGCTCCAAAAAACTTGGAGCAAGACTGAGTCTAACTCCAAGTCTGAGTCTTGCTAATTATTGCTCAGTCTAGTTGAATTATAGCCTCCCGAAAGATTTTTAGATTTTTAGGTCGACAAAAAAAGAAAAAGAGCCATTGCAAATTATTTTTAAAAAGACCAGCCACCCAAGAAAAGACTTACCACATACAAAGAATATATAAAAACACAACTCAGTTATCCTGGATTCTTAGAGAAGGATCCAGAGGGATGGTCTCATTTTATTATTACTTATCTTATCAAATCATCCTTATTTTGCTCCAATAATTATGTTTAAAAACTTAATTTCCATCACATCTCCCAAAATGAAACATCCACAGAAATACTGTCTTGTGTCATTGTGAGTTTTTATAGAATCTACAGCCTCATAGAAGGTCTGAATTGTCAATTTTAAAAATCTAATAAGATAATGAGATTTTGAATTATTAACCTATTACCAAATATTCATACACACTGTAGTTTGCATGGTATTCACTTGCACTGATTCCTGTATTAGTACCAACAATCCAGTATTAACTCATTTGTTTCCCTTTTTTTTTTTTACTTGAACTGCATACTTGAACTGAAAATCACCGGAATACAGAAGATAATGTATATTGTGTGAAAATGTTTCACATAACTACGGATCACTTGTTGTTATTCAGTAACATTTACTAAGCTATGAAAATTCCACATTTTGCCACTAAACCCCAGATTCCACATACTCCGTCAGTGCTCCGCTCCGCTCACATAGGTTATGCAGAGTACTTGTCTGTCATGTTAATCAATGAAAGCTGTTCCACATCCACCGTTACTCCTCCGCATGTCATCACCCATGTACGTCTTCTCTGTCCTTCACCGTCAAAACACGGAGCTGAGCCAATTTTTGCTCCGCTGCGGTCTGGCAAGGTCAAGATCCGAAATTGCAATCGCACCAAACATTTAAGTCAAGAAGATTGAGTTTGTCAAATTAAAATATAGTAACACCAGATCGGTAACTAAACATTAGAGCATAATTCTTACATATTCCCAAAGACTAAGAGCGTTTAATTAAATGATTAAATACAGACTATTGGTACTTCATCACACCAGGAAGCAGATTTCTTATCTCCATCAATACCGAGAGTCTTAAAAGTTTTAATCAAATCCATTCAAAATTTCTAAGAGAGCATCTGACAACTTCAAAAGAAACCTCTTATACAGGCCTGGATGAAGAGAAGCTGAGTTTGGAAGTAGAGAACAAACATAGTTCATACAAAAATGTATGATCCTAATTATCCCTGTTAGAAAAATCTGCAACAAAAAGAAAATATTTGGGCAGAAACCACACATATGCTGGTGGAGATTTTTTCTAATATGTCATATTAAATTAAGTGTTAATTTCCACATGTTTTGCGCCTTTGAATTTAATAATATCGCACATGCTCTCCTCAAACTCTGAGGAAGTAGGAGCGGAGCAAGACGGGAGGATGTGGGATTTTGGGGTTAGTTTCAGTTAAATACTCTGAAAACCTCCAACTTGTAGCTGCACCTATAATTATAGCCTTTCAATTGAACCTTTACAAGGGTTTCCTGTCCAAACTATTCCAAAATCTCCCTCCAAGGTTTGGCGAAACATTGGCAGCCCTATATCTGATAATTAAAATTCTCCGATCGGATCGAATTTAGTCTCACAATTACTGTATTAAGCTAAAAAATAAAATAAAATAAACATTTACTTCCACAAAAATCTCTAGCTGTGAGTTATAGTAGGTGGGCTGAGGGGGGCTGAAGAAGAGGTTTGCCCAGTGCGCCATTCATGCAGGAACCGCCCTTGGCTGTTACAGCGCTTCACATAAAACTATATAACTCTAATACAACATCTGTTTCAGTGACACCATTACATTTCATAAGAAACTCCAAAATGATTGAATGGTACTGTAATTAATAAAACAGATATCCGGCACTGCTGTTTCATTTGATCAAATAAAACAAATGTTAATCTATAATGCAGAACGCAAAACCAGCAGTTAATCCAAGGACTGGCATGTCAGCGCCGAGCGCTAAGAAACTGAGCTAAACAGTTTCCAGATCGATAACTTACCTGGTTTACTTCTAGTTTGTTGTCCTCTAGCAGTCCTGCTGCAGTCAGCCGAGACGGGGAAATGAAATCATTTCCAGGGAACTTTAGAAAAGCCCCAAAAAACAGCAGCGGTTTAGAAAGCTGCTTTGATTCCTCCAACAAAGTGACAGGAAAGTCCTACTTCCAAACTTTCTTCCTGACAGCCCACCGTGTCCGTTATACGCAGATGAACTGCATAGTTTTGTGTTTGTTTTTTTTTTTTTCAGTTTAACAAGGAGGAAATGAAGTTGAGGCTCTTACTGACTCCTACAGGCGTATCAGGATCACATACAGGCTAATTACTGAAAGACGCACAGACAGCTGCAAAGCTGAGGAGCAGGTCTGCAGAGACTAATTGCAGCCAATTAACTTCTGGTTAATTGAGTTCTAATAACCCAAATGTTCAGATCTGATTCGCCAATGCTTAATTGTGTGTGATTTTATAATTCCCCCAATATAAACAGGTGACTGGTGCAGTAATTTACTGGTGTGATATGATCTGTTTTTATGTTTCTAGGTCTCATTTTAGGTGCAGGCGGAGCAGGCGGATCAGATAGTCACTACATACAGGTGCTGGTCATAAAATTAGAATATCATGAAAAAGTAGATTGATTTCAGTAATTCCATTTAAAAAGTGAAACTTGTATATTATATTCATACATTACATACAAACTCATATATTTCAGATGTTTATTTTGTTTAATTTTGATGATTACAAATGACAACAAATGAAAATCTCAAATTCATCATATCAGAAAATTAGAATATTACTGAAGACCAATAAAAACAAAGGATTTATAGAAATGTTGGCCAACTGAAAAGTATGAACATGAAAAGTATGAGCATGTACAGCACTCAGTATTTAGTTGGGCCTCCTTTGGCCTGTATTACTGCAGCAATGCGGCGTGGCATGGAGTCGATCAGTCTGTGGCACTGCTCAGGTGTTATGATAGCCCAGGTTGCTCTAATAGTGGCTTTTAGCTCTTCTGAATTGTTGGGTCTGGTGTATTGCATCTTCTTCTTCACAATACCCCATAGATTTTCTATGGGGTTAAGGTCAGGAGAGTTTGCTGGCCAATTAAGAACAGGGATACCATGGTCCTTCAACCAGGTACTGGTAGCTTTGGCACTGTGTGCAGGTGCCAAGTCCTGTTGGAAAATGAAATCTGCATCTCCAAAAAGTTGGTCAGCTGCAGGAAGCATGAAGTGCTCTAAAACTTCCTGGTATGTGGCTGCGTTGACCCTGGACCTCAGAAAACACAATGGACCAACACCAGCAGATGACATGGCACCCCAAACCATCACTGACTGTGGAAACTTTACACTGGACTTCAAGCAACGTGGATGAAGTGCCTCTCTTCTTTTCCTCCAGACTCTGGGACCTTGATTTCCAAAGGAAATGCAAAATTTACTTTCATCAGAGAACATGACTTTGGACCACTCACCAGCAGTCCAGTCCTGTTTCTCTTTAGCCCAGGCAAGACGCTTCTGACGCTGTCTGTGGTTCAAGAGTGGCTTGACACAAGGAATGCGACAGCAGAAACCCATGTCTTTCATACGTCTGTGTGTGGTGGTTCTTGAAGCACTCACTCCAGCTGCAGTCCACTCTTTGTGAATCTCCCCCACATTTTTGAATGGGTTTTGTTTCACAATCCTCTCCAGGGTGCGGTTATCTCTCTTGCTTGTACACTTTTTTCGACCACATCTTTTCCTTCCCTTCGCCTCTCTATTAATGTGCTTGGACACTGAGCTCTGTGAACAGCCAGCCTCTTTAGCGATGACCTTTTGTGTCTTGCCCTCCTTGTGCAAGGTGTCGATGGTCGTCTTTTGGACAACTGTCAAGTCAGCAGTCTTCCCCATGATTGTGTAGCCTATAGAACTAGACTGAAAGACCATTTAAAGGCTTTTGCAGGTGGTTTGAGTTAATTAGCTGATTAGAGTGTGGCACCAGGGGCCATCAATTTTGAACCTATTCACAATATTCTAATTTTCTGATATGATGAATTTGAGATTTTCATTTGTTGTCATTTGTAATCATCAAAATTAAACAAAATAAACATCTGAAATATATGAGTTTGTATGTAATGTATGAATATAATATACAAGTTTCACTTTTTAAATGGAATTACTGAAATCAATCTACTTTTTCATGATATTCTAATTTTATGACCAGCACCTGTACTGTATAACACTACAACAATCCTACTATAAATCAGGGCCGGAGCTAGATGGGGGACCAGGAGCCACCCTTAGCCAATCATTGGCCACCCCTACCATTTTCCCCTCTAATACAGATAGCCAAGTGGAATATTCAAAACATTTTTTTTTCTTTGTGGGTAATTATACACATCAATATACTTATGGAAGCAAATCGTTACCATATTTCAGATGAAAAAGCATTTCCAGAAATGCTTTTTCATTTTAAGAATGTGGCTGCATTGTTTGACTCATAAATGAAATTAGTAATCAATAATCCTGTTTGCTTTTTCATTTTCAAATTTTACATTTCAAATTGAATTTTGGTATGTATTTGCTGGGGTGCATTTTGAAAAATAAATCTCAAATGTCTTTTTCTTTTTAATTTTAATTAAGTAAAAGGATGAGAGGTGTTGAAGAAGAAAATGAAAATGCAAATAGGATAATTGATTACTAATTTCATTTATGAGTCAAACAATGCAGCCACATTCTTAAAATGAAAAAGACTTTCTGGAAATGCTTTTTCATTTTATGCCTGTTTTCGAGAAATATGCTTGAAAATAACATACCAAAAAATAATTGAATATATCTCAAGAACTACAGAGTTTATTTTAATTGTTTTGGTATCAAAATAAAAGCAAGACCCCAGAGAATATGTTACAGGTCTAAAAAACATCCTGGGGCGAGTGCTGAGGACCCAAATTTGGGTCCTCATGTTATGAAAAGGTTATATATGGTAACGATTTCCTTCCATATACAGTATACTAACATCAAAGATGATAAGTACAGAACTGATGCTCTTTTCAGAACTAGATTTTGTGTTATATGGGGAAAAGAGAAAATTATGTGTCTCTGCAAGTCACCTAGGAGTCTTCAGTGAAATCAAAGATAAATAACAATAATAAAAAAAAAAGTTATCAAATAATCACTTTATGTAGATATTAGTGCTTGTAAATATCAATTTTATGCAGAATGTTTATTGATACAAGTAGGTAAGTAACGACAATGGAAAAGAAGTTTTATCCACTATACCTTTTATCTAGAAATTACGGATGTTTAAATATATGAATCTATTTGTTAGCAAAGGCTGTAGCAAAGTATACTGTAGTTTGTCTTTATTTAGAAAATATGGATGTTTTGCTCCTTCATTTTCCTGTTGGAACAGCATAGATTGACCCTGAGGTTCTGGTGCCTACCCACTTTCGGCCACCCTTATAAAAAATTTCTGGCTACGCCTCTGCTATAAATAAAATCATCCAATTGCTCAGTGTCCCTTTTTGAGAATAGAGAGAAAGAAAAGAGAAAAAAGCTGTGATTTGGTGATGTCTAAAAAAAATGATAGATATTTTGTTTGTATAAGCATTCCTTCTGCTTTGCAGTTTCATTAAGTCCTGTTGAGTGTTAGCATTTTGGCTATAAATAAAAGCCAACCTATACGTTTTAACCGTAAGGAAAGTTTACCCATACTCATTGGAGATGGATATTATGGATAAAAAGTTATAATTCTTTGCAGCTCTATCAAATAAATGATTAAAAAATCATCCATTTTGATTTCGTTTTTACAACGACAATTTCAGACCCCTCCATGATATGCAAGTGAGACAACTTACAAAATAGCAGGGTGTTAAAATAGTTATTTTCCTCACATATCAAATTAAATAAATTAACCAGTCTGCAAAATAAGATATGGGTCAAGTTAGCAGAGGACCAGAAAAAACTCACACACCTATACTTCCAAAATATCATTCATTTGCAATGTAAAATACAAAAAAAAACAATTCACAATAAATTTATTTGTATTCAAAAAGAAAACACAATCAGATTGTACTGTTTTTTTATGTAGTCACTGTCATGTTGGGTTGTGATTCTAGCCCAAATGCAGAACACACTCTGAGACAGGGGAAAAAGTTCAAAAAGGTTTATTGAAATACACAAATTTACACACAGAACTGATTCTGGGGAACATCTGGTCCAGGACTGGTCATGACTGATTTTCACTGTAGAGGGGGACAGAATGGGTAGCTGAAGTCCAGGTAATCTTGCTGGTTAAGTGAGCGCAGGTGTGTACCTGCTCAGAGGTTTGAGCAGAGCTCCAGAGGGGGAAACCTGGAGGGTCCAGAGGCTGACGGCAGGCTGAGGACTGACAGGTTTGATTCTCCAGGGTTCTCCCGTGATCAGACAGACTGGTTACAGACAGAGAAACTCTTCCAGAGTTTCTGATCTCCAGGGTTCTTCAATAATCAGGCAGACTGTTTTCAGACAGAGAAACTCTTCCTGAGTTTCAGACTTCTGACAGGTTCTTCCTGACAGGTTAGGTTCAGGTAATCAGGGAGTCTAGATTCAGGCAGGCAGATTGGCTCAGACTTGCTAACCATAACTGGCAAAACACTCTGGCACTGGAATGTTGTCCACAGCCCACTTAAGTAGTGGTCTCCTGATGAGCAGATGAGAAGCAGCTGGTGAAGTCAGCTCCAGCTTCAGGAGATCCAGTACGCCTTCTGGTGGAGGAAGGTAGACAGCACCCCAGATCCCAACAGAAGTAAAAACCATCAGGAAGGGATCCTCGGCGCCCTCTGGTGGGCAAGCCTCTGGATCCCAACAGTCAATCAGAATAGAACAGCAGATCTAGCTAAAAAGTGTAATGTAAACATGCTAATATCAGAATACATTATATCAGATTCTGATATAATGTTTAGCCATTCAAGGAAATACATCATGTTGTCATGGGATGCACATGCACACTGCCAATAAGCATAGTCAATTGGCATAAACCACAACTCTCAGTTGGATTACAATAAAATATGAGTGGAATGAGATCTAAATATTCCTACTGGCATTTTTATATATTGCTCAATTTTTGACAATATTTTTCACAATGTATCTCCATGTAACCATAGTTAGTGTGCTAAGATAAAGTCATCTGACACAGAGCAATAGGAGAATTTGTACATTTCTACCAACCAAAGATAAATCACTGTGAATACAGAGTATTAATGAGTAAGGCATTCAAGAATTGATTCAAAAAACAGATTATTTTCACATCTTGTGTCTACTGAAAACCTAAAATGTCCATGTCACAGAGTAAAACTAC